CCCCCCCCCCCCCCCCCCCGCGCCCCCCCCCCCGCCGATGAAAAAAGTGAGACATACTTCTAGAGATAGTTTGTCTCTATTATGTTCACGTTGTTTCATCACCGATGTGACAATAAAATAACAATAAAATTAACTATTTTAATGGTATACAGTATATGTGTATAATTGTCAATTTTCTAAAATAGTCAAGAAAATTGGTAATTGTTTGTTACTAATCGTTTAAATTAGTAAACGAACTCTTTTAAAACGATGAGCAATATTATTGATATGGCTAAAACATTACATGTGATTCTTTTCAATACCTTGTGTAAAACAAAAACAAAAATATTAAAGCACTTATATAAATAGGCAGAGATAAACGTTATAATCCATCGAATAAAAGATTAATATCGAATGTAAAAGGATTAATTTCATTTAAAACTACTAAAATATTTGAAGAACAACAAACTAGACAGTTCAGCAACTTTGTTTTGTACACGTTTAATCCTCATAGAACTTAAACTATCATATATTCTCTTGTATGGTCAAACATTGCTGCGAGAATAAAGTAACCTGATTTTCAAAATAATACAAGAAATATAATATAAATAGAAAACTAGTTCTTATTATATTCTTATAGTTAATCTTTCGTGCATACGTTAGATTGTGTTTGACATTACTCATTCTTCTATTACACCTACTTTTTGAAAGAAAAAGTCCACGTAGTATATGAAGTTTATTAACTTATCTATAGATATGTTAACCCAACGTAAAGCGACATATTATTGAGATTCATCAGAAATTTTAATTAAATACTTTTTGGACTAGATTTTTTAATTTTTATCAATTTTTAATTTTTCTTTATTAATAGAACAGTCAGGTTTCTTGGTCAATTTAAGATTGAGGTCAAGATTTTCGATAATAGCAGGTATTTGTTCATTTGAACTGCTTTTACTTAATTTGCGGCGATAGTGATCTAATATTTTGTAGAAAAGACTACAAGATTAGCCAAATTTTTAATAAACAAAAGATGATGGGTCTCATGTATATGTGTATAGATATAACAATCGCGTCCTGCTTTAACTATATGTAATAAAAACATGATAAAACAGAAAGAAAAAAAAAATTGAATGTTATTCTCGTAAGAATTGGCAAGATCGGTTTTTATATTTTCTTGTTTAATCAAACTGTTCTACAATAATACCGCTAATAGTAAGACGAACTATATACAATTCGTCTATACACGTGCCGTTGACCGCTCTCTCTCGCTCTCTTTGAAAAAATGTGTTAATCAAATAAATGTGATGATGGAGAGTATGTTCTTGTAGTACTGTAGTAAGACAGCAGTTTACCATAATTTATTCTTTCATTGTCGCATCAACACACAATATATTTAAAGAATAGAGAAGAAAAAAAAACATTTTCTCGTATTAGTAACTACTTTTTTTTGACATCTAACGGTTCGAAAAATAAATCTGCTTGCCGTCGAAAAGAAAAGAATAAACATAACAAAAAAAAAACTTATGAATAATTTTTTTTCCGTTTCTCGTTTTTTTTGTTGTTAAGTTATTTAGTTCTTATATACATTACCGTAAAACATTCAACATAAATAAATACGGTATACGACGAAAAATTTAAAAATCTTTTTTTTTTCTCTACTTTTCGATAATTTTATATACACACACACACACGTTCGTTTTTCCTACGCGAAGTCGACAAAAATAATCTCATATATTTTATAGTTTGATCGATTGTGATTGAAACAATTATATATATTATTTTTCAAAAGTTTTATAAAACCGACAAGCCAAAATGGGCGGAAAGAGCGGAAAGAGTGCGAAAAAAGATCTAACACTGTTGACAGACGACGAAATCGATAAATTAACACACAATACAACTTATTCTGCTCAACAGATTCAGGTTGGTCATTGTATTTAAATACTAAAAGAAAGATATATCAAGTATTTGAATAATTTCTCTTTTTTTCTTATCTTTTAGGAGTGGCATCGAGGTTTTCTTCGGTATTTATCAATATTTTTCTTTCTTCTCTTTTCTTATGTCAAATCAAAAGTATTGGGATGATTTTTTCTGTAATTCGATCACGAGTGATGGAGACGGTTAGAAAAAGGTTTTGAACACGATGCACATTTTCGTGCATGGATACTCTACAAATGTGTAATAAGCTATGTGATTTCAGCAATGTGATTAACTGAATATTAAGGCTTACAAAAGATCGTACTTATTTATCTTAGCACTAAAATGCGTGAAGAGTTTTCTTTTCAGTTACCAGACCATTTTTGGTTCTTACCAACAAAGCTGTAAATCTAGTTTTTATAAGAAGCACAATTACACACTACTTTTTGTTGCTTTTTATATTGAGTACTAGACACACGTGTTTACTTTCTCTTTGTTTGTAGAGATTGTCCGAACGGAAAGTTGGATAAGAAAAAATTCTTAGAAGTTTACAAAGTTCGTAAAACAGATTAAATTTTTCTTAGTTAGTGTCTGTTATTTCTTTTTTTTATTCAGAAATTTTATCCTGAAGGAAAAGCTGAAAAATTTTGTACACAAGTTTTCAAAACATTTGGTATGTGAACTATTCATTCTTTCTGAGTATAAAGCTAGTGACATCTATTATGAGAGATGCCGTTATGTTTAGATAGTGATGGTAATGATTATATTGATTTTGTTGAATTTTTAATTGCTGTAAATATTACTAGTCATGGAGGTATGTATAAAAGAATAGATTGACAATTTTTAAGCTATATGATTGTGTATTTTATTCTGTAGATGTTAAAGAAAAACTTCGACTTGCTTTTGAAATGTATGGTAAGTGTTATATGATAGATGTTTCAGTTTAATGAATTTTTTAATTATCATATGCCTTTTTCCTTTAGATATGAATAAAAACGGTGTGGTGAGTCATCATATTTTTATTAATTCAACATAAAAGCGTTAATCAATACCACTTAGACTATATCTGTGAAATTTCTAATGACGGTGAAACACGTAGGAGAAATTTTGTCTACTATTTGGGGTTTTGAGATCACTTACTATTATTTATGTGGCAGGAGACGGCTAGAAACAATCAAGATTTATTTGTAAAATCCTATACAATAGATGTACCACCAAAGACTCTATATTTAGACTAGTGTCTTTTCACGCATGTTCACGAACCTTGGTCAAGAGTCCTGTCAAACCCGATCTTTGTGTAGTATGTCACTCAAACACACAAAACGATGAATGCCTGTTCTAGATGAGGTTTCATTGTGAGAAACGTATACAATTCCGCGAAACTCCTAGTAAAGTCTTATTCAAAAGAGAAATCCTGCAGAATTTATCAAAATTTTTTTAATTCTTCGAAGTTCTGCAGGAATCTACGCACAATAAATTTCCACATCCGTTACGGCGTGGGTTAAGCTGAAAATATGAAACTTCAATTATGGACAACACGCTAGTGTTATAAGCAGACTTCCATTCGTGTTCACGTGAGAAAGTTCGCAAAAGATTGAATTTCTTAGTGAGATTTTACTGCGTGTAAAAGCACATTGTAATTGGTTGCGCATCTCCAAATATCAAAATTAATCACATAAATATAATGTTTAAAAGTCAACCTTAATTACTGATCTGTTCACTATATGAACAGTAGGTCTATAACGCCCATATCTATATAGGAATGTTTGACACAAGGGCACACTTTTTTCTACCTACTTTCGAACTACTGATATTAGGTTTTTCTTTTTTACTATTTATTATTAATGTGCTGCTAGAAACAAATTTATTTTTAAAAATTAAAAATTTTCACTATCCTATGTAATATATATTATACCATTACAGATGCTATTTTGACGTTTGATCCATGTTATTTATCTAATATTATTTGATTGTTAGCTATGCATTATATATAGTTGATACCAGGACTCTTAGAAAACCTTTTAATAATTCGTTTAATATGAAATGTGTAGAGTTGTAGGAGATATCTCATATTGTAGAAAATTGTTCAATCTCCAGTTTTATCGACATAAAAAACCAGTAACACTAGGTAGTGAAAACAAGTATTTAATAGTTTTTGAACGTATTTTATTGATAACTTGCTGTAAGAAATGATAGTATGCTATATAAATACTGTTAGTCATCAATTTTTTTTCTTTCTTCATGTTCTAATCTCTAAAAAATAAAATCATAAAAATAGAAAGATATATGAAAATAATTAGCTAGCTACTCTGGAGAAATAGTATGATGATCACAATTCTCCACTGTATAACAAAATCTATCATATTTATGTCTCTCTCTTTCTCTATTCAAGTCTAAAAATAAAAAGATGGAGATTTATTATAATTAAATTACTTTACATATATCATCTGATTTTCTAGTGTTAAAATTGCACATATGCGAATACTTTTAAATATTCATAAATTTTTTTTTTTTTTAAAAAGAAAAACTGAAATAATCAATAAAGGTTATGTAGTTATTAAGCTGATAAAAATGTAGAAATAACAAATAAGAAAAGACTTTTAGTTTACCACTGTATAATAAAGAAAAGGTTTCAACTTACTCTTTCCACAAAAAGTTGGTATGGTCACTGATTATTGTATTTTTACGCTTTATATGCATTGTTATATAACAATATTATATTGGACACTTAAGAGCAGCAGCTGTTGCATTTAGATAAATGCTTTTCGTTTTCTATCACTATGTAGTTATTAATGATCGTTTTTTAAAATAAAAAAAAAATGATTTCATGCGAAATAGCTGTTTGTAGAGGATACATTTTGTGATGATTCTCAGTAACAATCTCAATCGTCAAGGGTTAAATAGTCCATTAGTTAAATTAAAATTCAAACACGATGGTACAAATCTTGTGTATTCAAAGTATCTTATTTTGTACAATTGTTCAAAAATGAATTTGTCAAGTCTAGATGAGTATTTGAAGAAGTATTTTTAGTGATTTCGGAACATTGTAGTGTCTATTTGTTGTTAAATTTATTCATTCAATTTTGCGATCAGAAGAGGAAATTGAGTGGCTTTTTTCTGCAGAAGTATCTTATACAATTTTTTTATTAATTGAATTTCATATTGTTGTTATTTTCACTTTGATACATAGATGAGTAGTAATTTAATTAGAGTACAATTACAATACTTTGTCGTTTTTCCAATATGATTGTGTTGAAAAAACATGCAAATCTCCTTTTCCTCAATTCGATAGATATAGTTATCACGTGACATCTTCTCGAACAAAGTAGAAGATCGAAAATTTTTGTTTTTTTTTACGATGTTATTAATTTATATGAAAATCACTTTTAGTACATAGTACAAATAGAAGAAGATGAATATGACATTTTACAATGCGCGAATGTTGATGCAATTTTTCTTTCTTTTCTCTTACAAACGTCTATATCCTATCTTTCGTTGAATCGTTTTTGCAACTGGTGCAAAAAAAAAAAAGTGAATTTACTATGGTATAGGCACCCCAATAATGTAGAACTATACATAGATTCGATATAAAAAAATATATATATGCTCATTTCTCTCTTATTTCTTTTCGAAAGAAAAAGTTGTTGTTGCAAGCTGCTGGAGAGAGAAAAAAGGATCAACGATTACCCTAGTAGCCTCTATAGTTTTATTTTTTTTTCTATCGTATTATTTTGTATATACAAAAACCCTAAAAAGTTTCACGTCAAATCATTTATATATGTTGTTTCCTGGTTTCTTTTCTTCTTCTTGTTGATTGTTGTATCCTCATAGATAAATATTCTACTATACAAATTGGTAAAGTGATAGTGATCACATCATAGTTCATTTATTGACTTTAATCTCACTCATTATTATTCATATATAAAATTTAAATTAATAAAAAAGAAAATGGGTAATGAGAAAAGTAAAAAATTTCATGATGAATTAGATGATGCAACAATTCATCGTCTAACACATAATACAAATTATACACCGGAACAAATAAGACAATGGCATCAAGCATTTTTAAGAGATTGTCCATCAGGTAAATTATCCAGTCGACAATTTACAGAAGTTTATAAAAAATTTTATCCAGAACATGAAGCAGAAAAATATTCAAAACAAGTATTTCGTACATTCGATATGGATCATAATGGATATATTGATTTTATTGAATTTTTATTAGCTGTTAATATTAATTCGAATGGTGATGTTCGTGATAAACTTGGTCTAGCATTTGACATTTATGATATCAATACAGATGAAAAAGTAAGAGGAGGAAACAATATTTGTTTAGAATGTAAATAAGAAATTAGAGATTTATATTTTGGTTACTTGCCTACAACATTATGATTATGATAAAAATTTTAAAAGACAATTGAGTTTGTATAAATGATAGTCAATAAAACTGTGATGTATAATTGATACGTTAGATTGTATTAAGAAAAAATTTTGTCTATTGTATAAAGAATGAAGAAGGATCTTAAATATCCAATGTGAAAAAATAAGAATACATGAGTAGTTTTTACATAATAATAATGAATACTATAGAAAAATAAATATTCGTAAATATGTCTGTTGAATACCAAATCATAGAATATTGTTGTAAAAGTAACACGAGTGAATGTACGTGTACATGTATATAATTACCTAACGGTAGAAGAAAATAAATGAATATATGATGAGTATATGATTTGAATGTAGATCTAGGATATTTTTTCTAATTGAGTATTTATTAATCTTGTAATTAATTATATAATTATATTTGAATATATTAAACATATCTTTTGCAAAGAAAGAAAGAGAATATTTATCACATCATGCAATATTTTTATATTTCGAATAAATCTGAAAAATTAGAACAGCTGTTAGATATCAGAGCTTCGTATGGACTCAAAATTATGGGTCCAATCCATTCTAATCCGAATCTATGAACTCTAAAATAGTAGTTTTTTACTGATTTTTCCTTGATTTAAGTGAATCCATTTTTTTTCGAGTCCATGGTCTTGAAAATTTGAGTCCAGCTCATAGAGAGCTCTGTTAGGTATCGTATTCAAAGTCAAAATCAAATTGTTATTTCTTCTAATTGTTATAACATTCTTCCAAATTTATTGTTAGATAAGAAATAATGTTGAGTCAGTTTGAGAAGAATCAAAGTTGAAAACTCCTTAGACGAGACGATGACAAGCTAAAAAGGCGAAACTCTGTGTAAAAATAATTTTCCATATACAATTCATAAAGAGCAAACGAACTAGAACAGATTTAGAACAGACATTAAATTTGTTCTGTTTACCTTTCTAAAATCGTACATTGCCTATAGCGAGAAAATAATCGAAAAATATTAAACAAGTAGCGGAAACAAAAGATACCGTTGTTTATTGTTTGTTTGTTTGTTTGTTTATGACTGCACAACATTGTTCTTGAGCAGTATAGCAGTTCATGTCTCTGAGAGCTTTGTTATCAATTAAAAATTAAACTAGTTATTTTACATTTCAATTGTTGATTCTGCGCAGATGTACTACACTATATAATAATAAATTCTAGACATATAATGCAAAAAATGAGCAAATGATTGTCTCCTACGTACAGAGGAATCGCGTATCTTACGTTTAGGCCAAAGTTGTATGTCAAAAAATTTTTGCATTTTAATCAATATATAAATTTTTAGAATTTTATTTTCAACTCTCTCATTTTAATTTTATCTTTTATTTTGTTTAGATTGATAAAAAAGAAATGACAAAAGTTATAACAGCAATCTACGATTTATTAGGTAAGTCATTAGAACTTGCTAGTTTCTAGTTTGAAAACAAAAATAATCTCAATTTTTACATATTTTTTAGGTGAAGACAATCGTAAAGGTGAAAATAGTCCGGATAATCGTGTGAAAAAAATAATGGAGAAACTTGATATTAATGATGATAAAAAAATTACACGTGATGAATTTGTTGAAGGTTGTCTAAGAGATGATATTCTTAGGCAATTGCTTGCACCAAATGTTTAAACAATTAATTATCTTACTCATTTAATTTGAACAAATGTACAACGGTTGCTATCAAAAAATAAAACATTTTATTGTTCGTTTGTTTCTTGCTTGTGTGAAATTATCATCATCACGGGGTTTTTTATATTGATGAATAATATTCTTCTTCTTTAGTATATAAGGATATGGGTCGTAGAAACACGTTCGTTCAATTGTTACGCTATCTTCTGCTTAAACATTTGCTATTTATCTTCTTTTTTATGGACGTATTTTCCTGCTTTTAAAATTGTCATACTTTTCAGTCTATTGTACCGTGTTTTAATGTACTTTGTGTAGGGAAAAATACTTTGCTCTCATTTTTTTTTGTTTTATTATATACTCGATTATGAAATATATTTGTGCTATACGTTATGTTCGCATTATTGAATTTGTTGATAAAAGTAATAATATGTTTAAAGGACTCAAATTGTTCTAGACATACGTCATTCGTAATTTGAAATAAGAAAAATCAAATTTATTACAAAAACCATTGTCTGTGTCATTGGTACTAGTTTGTATTTGTTTTATGAAAATCAAAGTGCCCCCAGATCGAAAATGTCTTATGTTGTGTAAATAATAGATTTTATCCGGTGTACACTCTTCTCGATTCTATTATCTAAAAGGTAACAATATCGTATATAAGAGAGGAGTGGAAGTCTCTGTAAATCCTCTGGAATTTTTATACAATGAGATTTGCTTATGATTATAGAAACGGGATCTTTTAAACACATAACAGCTACCCCTTGATTCTTTAAAAATACTCGTATCTGAGCTGCCTCTAATGTCGAAAAGATATTTTTTATAAAGATTTTGCTGAAAATAAGAAACATTAGCGCAGAGGAACTTGCTACAAAATGTAATTCTCTTTTTTAAATGACGTACGCTCTTACTATTATAGATTTACTCGCGGTTTATAATCGAAACATAATTTTTTTATCGTTTATAACTTTCTGATATATGTATGTATGGAGAGTTCGGAAATTATAATTACAATTGAATACTTTTTTCTCAGGAAGCAAGAAAATCGACTAAGTATTTGATAAGGGTGGTCGCCAAGGAAAATGTAAAAGAAATGACTTCTACAAATAATAAATAGTAAGAACGAATCTGTATGAGTGAGAGAAAGAGAGAAAGTAAACACAATTAAATGATTCGAAAAGAATCTTGAAAAATTATTTCTTTTTATATATAAATCTTTCTTTTGTTTACTCATTAAGGCACGCAGGTTAAGGATTATTCACAATTAAAAAACACATATGCACAAATATATTTTGTCACTAGAGTAAAGTACATGGCCATCACATATACATTGTATTTTTCTAAAAAACAAAAAGAAGACGATAAAAAATTTGTTATTTAACTCTCTAAAATTCACTTATGCATATACTCTACTGCGACCAAAAACATGAAAAGGAAACATTTGTTTGATTTTCAAATTTTTTTATTTTGTTCTCAATGTAAATCAACGAATAAAAAAATTACTTTTCTTCTCTGTAAACACATTATTTTAGGTATATTTGATGCCACGAGTCATGTCCCTTTAATAAAAAAAAATATTCAAATCGGAAAAATTTTCTCATTTTATTTTCTACGAAAAATAATCTTTAACGATAAAAAAAACAACGTTAAATACTGCATATGTTACACAGCTGTCCTAATAATGGAGTAAATGAATAATAAATGCATATACAAAAACAAATTTTTACTGTAGCAAATAAATACTGTAGCAAGGTAAGTAGAATTTAGCCTGTCAATTCAACAGAAGTGGAGACTTCGATAAAAAGTTTGACCATAATCTAAATACCTTTTTTAGCTAAGCGCTACGAATGTTGTTGATTAATAAAAACCATTAAATGGCATCAGTAAGAACAGAAAAAACACAACCAAGACGTTTGAGATCTGCACGGGTTAAGAAAACGTAATTTGAAGCCGAGTCGACAATCTTGTGTATAAAGAAAACAATCATTAATTGGCTTTATGAATGCAGTTGTTTTGAAATAAATATTTCAACTGAAAACTTCAGTAGAAATCACTTTCAAGCCAAAGAGTAATATAAAATTGAAATTATTATCTATATTTTGAATTGTGTTGAAAGGGTTCGGGTCGGTTTGCAGATCTCCAGTTTGAGATTGTCTTGAAAACTCTTGACACGAGACGACAGGCTAAAAAAGCGAGATTCTGCGTAAAAATAATTTCCTATATACAATTCATAAAGAGCAAACGAACTAGAACAGATTTAGAGCAGACATTAAATTTCTTCTGTTTACCTTTCCAAAATCGTACATCGCCTATAGCGAGAAAGTAACCGAAAAATATTAAACAAGCAGCGGAAACAAAAGATACCATTGTTTATTGTTTGTTTGTTTATGACTGCACAACGTTTTTCTTGAATAATAGCACAATGATATGTAAGATTTTTGTTTCTTCTGATGTCTCAGCGAGTTGAGAGTCCTTCTAATAATATTGTTTATTCTGTATTAATCATGAGACAGTTTAGATCTACTCTCTTTTTTTCAATGTTAAAAATCGGATACGCATATTTTTCATTAAATGTGAGATTTTTTCTATTAAACCAATATAAAAGTCACTTACAAGTGTATGTTAAACTATTTACTATTATAATTCTCAACTATATGTCGTTTTATTAGTGTTAGTTATAGAATCCATAGTTCTGTTTTTGAAATTTTTAGATAATGATTTGAATAGCCAAAAAAAAAAGACATTTATTTGGATCATTCTTTTCTGTTTTGTTCATTCGGACTTATTGTTCTTCTTGTCCACGATTAATCGAATTTACAAAAAAAACACCATTTTAAACTGTATACATTATGATATTAACGTAACAAAGAATTATGACGGTCAAAAGTAGTGGCTACGAAACTATTCGAAGTGGTGATACCACGTTGTTTTACATTAATCGATCTGGATTACCATTAACGGAACAGATCAAAGATCGTATGTGGGACTTTTGTAAAGAACAATATCCAAATAGTATGTATACCTTGAAAAATATAACTCTTTTAGCTAGCCTTTTCTTCTTTATTTGATAAGATGAAACAGAAATACAAAATATTAAAAATGCTAAAGAATATTTACCAATAATTGTACCTGATCCACCGTATCATATTGCAAATAATGTTCGTTATACCATTCATGAAAAATTACAACAAATTCAAAATTACGTTCAACGTTTAGAATATAATTATACGGGTATGCAATTTTTTGACATACAATCAAAACGGCCAGTCAATTATTTAATGGATATTGCACGATATATTATGACTGAATCATTACCAATTAAATGTTTTGAAGCATTTATAATCTGTTTATATCTAACTACTGGTATCACTGGATTAGATCGATTTAATATAAGTGAGTGATTTTAATTGAAATAGATAGATTTTGTTAACAATTTATTTTCTTTTATAGGTTTTAAATCTCGTTTTAATGGTACAGTGTATCGTCATGTTATCCTTGGTTTGAAATATCATCAAAATTATGGATCGTTAGGTGTTAGTAGACGAAAAGATTTGATGTATAAACCATTGAAATACGACAAATTATCAGCATTAATCGATGATTTTATTTTAGCCTATAAAAAATATGGACATGATGTATTAAAAGTAAAAATTGGTCTTCCAATTGTCCACGATCTAAAATCATTTCAGACTATTATATGGAAAGCAATCATTGTAAGTCCAAATAAAACTGATAAAATAGACTATAGCAAAGAAATAGACAAAAATACAAGAATATGGAGACAAATGAATATGTATGAAACATTTAAATCCATACCATCAGCATCCACAGTTCAACCGATGGGAACAACGATAACAGCTGCTGGTGTGGCACAGCCAAATCGTTTATCATATGTAAAGCCCCCACTATTGAGCGCAACAGTAACAACGACTAAAAACCCATCTCGTTCAATATGTCGATTTGTCAATATTGATGAACAAAAAAATATTCCCTGTGCTATCAGGGTATAACGATTGCAATCTTCTTTTTTATGAATTTTTAAAAACTTTTATTTTGATAAAAAATCTTAATTTCATTCTCTTTCTCGATCAATTTTTCATCACATGATGGTAAAAATTTGTATCTCAACTACAGTTTCTCACCTTGGTGGTAGTTGTATAGAAAATGTTGATAAAATCATTTAGCACATTTGTTTCTCTGAATATGTATAAACTAACCAAAAGAAAGTGATAGACAGCATATACAGAAATCTACAAACAGTCGTAAAATATAACAACAACAACAGCAAATAAAAAATATGTGAGATTAAGTTTTTAAGACACTATAGATCCATATAAAAGATGGTTTTATCTATTTTGAGGAAATGAAATTTGTGAGTATGAATAAGATATTAATTCAGGTGCAAAAAAAACATTATCTAGTTTGAGAATAAAAAAGAGCTCGAGTTTATATAACACTGCATAAATTGACAAAGATATTGGAAAAAAACACAATAAGTAGATCCAAAAAAGTAGCATATGAATGGTTGAAGAAAGTTTATTTGTTTATGTAAGATTATTAGAAAATAATTAGTTTATAATTAAACGAAAAATGAGACAATATCATTGTTTTTGTTATTTTATTTTATAACAGATATCTAATAGAATAGTTTGGATTCGGATGAATAACGTGATCATATATAAAACAAGATAAACGTTTGTTGATATGGGTAAGGTATTTGAGGTGGATATCCTAAATAACGAAAATTTATATTTTGAACATTTTTCAATGGTTACAGAATTATACAAACTCACCACTTCATACCATGTCGAGTTTTTTTGCACCTTCATGCTAATTTACTGTTTCTCCAGTTTCCGAAAATTAATTGTCATTTTGTAAGTTTTCAGTTCCTAATTTACATACATTTCTCTAATTAATTTCAAAAAATCAATTATTGTTTGTGTTATTTGAATGTTTTCAAAAGTATCAAAAATTTCTCGCGTGAAAAAGAACAAAATCTAAGGAACTACGCTTAGATACAGGAGATGTACTTGTCACATCATCTAACATATAACCGAGCTGAATCTAATGCGTGATTCATGATTCTTGAATGGTATAGATGCGTCCAAAAATGCAAGCTATAAACGTTCAACTTGTAACTATAAAACCTCAGATGCATCTGCCTTATCATGCGCTGATTCTTCACCATCTTCTACTGTGTAAGTATCGATTGATTCAATATGCTTGTGCTCTTACTGCATTATAAACATATTAAATTGGATATCACACGTTCATTCATCTTTCACAAATTGTAATTCAGAAATACTCAATCACTCAACTTTCCAAACTCACTAAATCAATATTATGCCAAATTATCGCATTTTGCTGCGATGTACTACACTTAAAATCGTCTACAATAGAACTATACATTGCGTGAATGAAATTGAAATATTTGTACGCAGATAAACTGTGGTAGATTCCTTTTCTCAACATAACGATGGCGTACGATCATTTCTAATATTCACAGCGATCAAACAATCGCAACAAAACTCATAAAAGTCTCTTCTTTCCATCATCTACACTATTTTATAAAACCTGACAGCTTTGCTACATACACGTTGTTCCGCTTTAGGAAACATCAATGGTATATATTGCTTCAGGTTTCTACAATATTCAGGATTTTGCGCTATGCATTTAGTGTTTAATTCGTTCGCAAACTTAACTATTTGACATCTCGTTTAATAATGATTTTGTGGCGCTATTTCTATTGTTAAAATCATCATCTAAAATTGACCGCATATCTATTATCTTCTTTGAATAAGGCTGTGCAACATTTAAAGTACTCACTCCAAGAAAGAATATATTTTGAATTTGTTTTTCTCGGATTCATCGCCAGATAAATATGAATTCAAATCAATTTTCTGTGAAAAACAAGAAAAAAGGAATGGATGCGAAGTCTTTTCTGTCTAAAGTCTTAGTAATGATGAAAAGACTATACTTTATTCTTGAGAAGTATATTGTTGTTCTGGTGAACCACATCAAACAATGCAAAAAATTCATTTTGATTGAGCATGCTTAGATGATTACTAAGAACAGTAAGTACACGTCTTTCTATTTAGATAGGTAAATAATTTTTTAACCACATGTTACAAATAAGTGAATTGTAAATAAAATGTACACAAAAAAAACTTAGGGAATACTGTACAATAATACAATCAAAGTTTTGGTTCATATGAAAAAAATTATATGTATTAACATATTTTTGAAAGCAAAACCTGAGCGGACGTAACGTAAAAAATACAGAAGATAAAAAACAGATATACGTATCATATATATATAGAGATCACAAAGAATTTGCGTTTCACCAAGAAAAGAAAATATTTACAATAATGATCAGGATTGATCTACATGTCTGATTGCTTCGTGATAGGGTGGTGGAGCTAGATAATAAATTCAAAACAAATTATATAAAAATAGATTAGTGTAGTAGAGAAAACTTACCATCAAATTCGTTGCCTCGTGAGATACGGTTATCATCATCGGTTGATATAATCGTTTGTGGTAGATTATTTCTTTGAGATGATGTTACAAACGTTGTCATCTCATTTCCTTCTAGTAAAAAGAACAACAAACAAAAGTTTATAATTTTCACTGTAATAAGAAAAGAGCCAAATGCACATCCGCTTTTGAAAATAGAATCAAAATAATATGCTCATTCGTACGCAGATTCAGAGATTATTTAGCTAATTTCAATATATTCACAAATAAAGCTTCCCTCGTTGCACATTACTCACACACAAAATGAAGCAACAAATCTTATATTTATTAGGAAAATTTTAAAAAAAATATATTCTTATTCTAATTAAGTAAATCAGTGAAGAATAAAGTATATGTTACGGTAAAAGTTAGAACATACAGTAGAATTTTGAGTTCTACTGCAACATATAGATTTTCTAATCGACACTTGGACTAAAACACTCATAGCAAAGGATAGATAAAAGAGCAGAAAAATAGTAGTGCATCAATCGGAGAAGCGTGAGAAAATTTGTTTTGTAGCTAAAAAAACAATCTCTCAACTTTGAAAATCGATCAACGGTGGTGACTGCTGGTAAGAAAGGTCAGATTTTGATCATTTATTTCTTTATTCTTCGTAGCTAAACACAAATTTAAAAATAAGCAAAATTCGAACAACAAAACTGTTTTAGCATGATTAGTCAGTCAACGACTAAAACTATTAAAAATGAAATACAAAGCGGCATTGCATAACAAATCCTATATCTACCTACCAGCATCAACTGTGTGTAAAGACGTTTTGACTAAAAAAACATGATAATGGATAGTAAAACTCAACATTATGTCTAGAATGCTAATCTGAAAACGTTAGCATGAGAGCTTGGTGACGGATAATGAATAGAGGAGAAGAACCGTTATGGGCACAAATTTTCACATCCATCTACGGATGATCACCATATTATTGACTATATATATTTGTGTCTCATTTTCTAGTGGTATATATACTAAATTGAATAATTATGAACACTTTTGAAGGCTTTAAAAAGAAATTTCGTTTTTTATTCTGGACTCTTTGATTTTTTGGCGCATAATCTTAACAGCATACTAAAAATACTTTTGGAAATTTTTTCTTAAAAAACAGATCATTCTCATGCTCTTTTTCACCGATAGGCGTACTGCGTCCATAATGGTTCTTAATGCAATAGGTGCCTTATTTGTGTCTAACGTTACCAGCGAAGGTGAAGAATCTAAATATGTACATGCGCCATTGTCCATGAAAAAGTATTTGGAAAAGTTTCTAACGGAGAAAAATATATTGAACTTTTTTCTACGTTTTAATTTTCGCCGTGGAAACACTTTGGACTAATTTACAGAGTAACTTGGGTCCATAAATAGAGTGTACTATCGTACTGCTATCTTTGATTCGATTCATAGTCATTATGTGTATATATGTTTTAGGCTCCTAGAATCAGTACTAAACAGAGAAAATCTTGCTTCTACAACACTAAAGATATTAGAAAAACCAATAGAAACTTTTTATAAATTTTAGCCTGGCGACATTTTTCAAAGCTGTTTATCGTTCAACTTATGAATAGATTCTACACCTCTGGTTACTAATACAATATTCTACGATAATACAACTTTCACTTAATATTGTAAATAACAATCTAAATCTTCAACTTTTTAATTCTAATTAACGTCCATACATAAGACTTCCTAATTTGATGACAACAGAACTATAAAGTTTGATAATTTTGATATTTACCTTTTCGTTTCACTCTTCGGCGATAAAACACCACACAACATGCTACGGCAACCATAAATACACCACAGGCCGCTATAATTCCAATAATCGCTCCAGCAGCGCGCCCACCGCTAAAGAAAAAAAAAAGAAAAACATCTATAGTTTTTAGAAATCTTTGAGAATAAAATGTTGTAAATGTGGTAACAGAAAGTTACTTCATCAAGGATTTGTACTAGCATGCTTTAGCCGTGCTAAAAGATCACTTTGAAGCAAAGAGAATCGAGGAACATAATCATATAAATGTTTTACGTTTTTCCAGCACTTTAGATACTAAGAAACACTATTCTAATGAAAATTCTATTTGTTTGAAAGCTATAGAAAACCTACAACATAATAGACGTCCTTTGAACAGTTGTTGTGGCTAAAAACGAAAATATTTTTGAAATTTATAAAAAGTCACGTTATAAGGATTGTATTAATAATCATGACTGTTATTGAGTTCTTTTTTTGGATATTATAAAACAAATCATCCAGTAAAAAAAAAAGAAAGAAGAGAATACAAGTAGTCTACTTATTTGTTTTGTATAATGTGTGCGCAGAAAAACAGAGAAGGAAAAAAGAAATATACGTTTTTTTTTAGTTCTAGCTTTTAGTTTCTACTCGATAAAATGGCGTTTAAATAAAGAAAGAGAGGAAGAGAGAGAGAAAAGAAATAGTTTCGCTGGAAAAAGAATTGAGCATTTTGAAGTACGACTGACTCTAACTCACCTAGACCAAAAGTTGCAGCAGTACTGTTTATCCACTTCTCCTATATACATGATCTATAATTAGGGAGACAATATGTAAAATTTAATACTAAATACCACAGCAATATTTGTCATCCGACTGAAATCCATCTAATGGACAGTTAAAGTTTTTGTATTGATAACTATCGAAATCTTCGTAATTTGTACAACGATCACCAGTACCATCTAAAAATACGATCTCTATTGAACAATGAGTTCACAGAATCACTTCATAGATTGTACTTGATATTGATGTATTGTAACTGGAGCGATAATGATTTGCCATTTGTCTCATAGTTAACGAACCAAGAAGATATCCAGTTGCACCAACGCTCACGTCATTCACAGAACTATTCGGTTGTGATTTGGACCTACGGAAAAGTGTTGAGAGTTAGACTATTTACTTTTTAAAACCTAGGAACCCACATTCTTGTCTAAGCACGAGAATGATAAAGCAACAGCATGTATATTTTAATCTTCAAACAAAACAAACCAATTAGCCGTTGCCTTTAGCTTTACCGTTGAATATGTATCTTAGTTGAACGAAAAATATGTTTATCTACCAAAACCACTTGAGTAAAACTAACAATATCATTTTTATCTCATCGAAACATATTTCTTACCCAACGCGTCCTCCACCACCACGACTGCCTCCACCTCTTTTGCATTCAACAACAACTACTACTAAAATAAAAATGATAAATGCGTTTAAAATAACTTTTAAAATTCAGCCCATAAATCAAGTTTTTGACTTTTGATGTTAAAAGTAAGGTTGTTTTTTAGATCTTGCTTTTCTGTCTAAAAGTTATAGCTCTTAAGATCTACTATCAGGATTAGGCATGCACCGAGTAATTGACTAAGAATTTCATATTTTTCAAAAGCCTGGCGTTTCGTAAATTGGTTCGTTAAAAATTTTCTGACTCGGTAAGAAGGTAGAGCAAACATTTCTCTACAAAATAAGATGTTGGACAGCTCTGTACGATTTGTTTTGAGTTTTCGGCAGTGATACTTCAAGAACACATAAGCGAGTACTCGATACTCGTTTACCATTCGATTGTATGTTCTGTAGTATCACTGCCGAAAACTCAAAACAAATCGTACAGAGCTGTCCAACATCTTATTTTGTAGAGAAATGTTTGCTCTACCTTCTTACCGAGTCAGAAAATTTTTAACGAACCAATTTACGAAACGCCAGACTTTTGAAAAATATAAAATTCTTAGTCAATTACTCGGTGCATGCCTAATCAGGATCATGTGTGTTATTCAAAACAAAGTTTTCTCTGAACTTAACATATTAAACTTACCAATAAGTGAAATAATGTATATATAAATGGTTAAAGAAGCTCGAACAGGTTGTGCACGAAGTAAACGCATCAAGATACAAAATATGACACAAAATGAAAATATACCATAATTTTCACAAATAAAAATAAAATCTGAATATTATACCTGACATATTGAATGTAGCAACGATAACATTCATACTGTCATATCGCAAATAAATTTTATACACTAATCGGATAAAGAAAAGAAGGATGAAAACAATTACTATTATATCAAAATGAGTAAAAGTCATCAGATACACAGTAAATATATTTATTGAATCGTTAAAAAAATGAAATCATTTAAACTGTCAGTTTCTTTCGAGTACAATAGTCATCATCATATGTAGAATAACCAAATGGACAGATAGTGCATATATTATATGAATAGAAAATAACCACAGAAGATGAAAAAAGTGTTTCAATAAGAAATAGAAAGGGTTGTTCACACTAGCCGCCAGAAACCAGTATCAATGAGAAAAGATGTACAAAAAAGCTGCTAGTAACGGTTAATAGTAATCAACCAGAGAGATTTTGTGCTTGGGTCCCGATCGGCGTCACTTTTTTCCATTGAAATGACCACGAGTGAATTTTTAAAAAATCGGGAGGATAAATCTGATTTGTCAACTATACACTTACACAAATTTTGAGAAGCTAAAAGTTATGTTAAGTCAGATGCTCGGTGTTTCCATTTAGGTCTATCCAGTTTATACCGATATAGTCGCCGCAAAAATGTCGATACTCTTTTCGAATAGAGGATAGAAAATTACATAAAAGCCCCTTGCAAAAGTCATATTCCACAGGCCTTTTCGGAGAATTCAAGTTTCGACCTTCCCTCTAATGAAGCAACTCTGATCTTGTTTTTTCCTGCATCAGCAGAGCTTACATCGCTGTTCGACGTACCTCACGAAAGAGCAGCTAGAGTAGTACAAGTACCGATATTCAAAACTTCTACTACTCTCTCAGAGAAACAGTAGCTGTTACAAAATGGCTGACAATGAGAAAACGGCATTGAGTGTTTGACCTCTTCTGAACGAAAAGCAAAACGAAAAATTCTTTATTATAGATCAAACTAAAGCTGAAGAGCAGTTTAATTTAACAGAAAAAGAGTTAACTCAATTTTTTTCAAGGCGCCCATCTTTAGATGCCCCATTTCAGAAGTAGCCAAGTTTCGGTCCCACTAGCTCAAAAAGTCTCCATCAGAACTTTGTCATCTTACTCTCATTTGTAGTGTTCACCGAACTATCTCAAATGGTAGCAATATATATTTTTGGCTCCCTTCGTTTTCACCTGCTTACATCACAAAAGTCAAAAATGTCGATTACTGCTTTCATGTTTCGCTGACTAAATAACGAGAAATTCTCTACTTTTCATGTTTCCTTCTTGTAATAAGTCGCCTATTAGGAAATATCGATTAATTCTCTCTACCGAAAGACATTTTATCAGAAAACAAGACGAAAAGTTGAAAAAGCGCTAGTACAGTTAGATAAAGGCGACATCTCATGGACGAAATTGATTGAACAATTTGTTCCCGTCCAATACCTTGTTTTGCTTTTCTCTGGAAATCGGCGGCCATTTTTAGTAGCATTATTAACACAAGAATCTCTTCTTCTTTCAATCAATCAAATTTTGTATTAGTTTAGTTAGAAGTAAGCTAAATTGCGAATTAATATAACAACAACTATTTCATCTCGACAGAAACTAAGAACAGAGTAAGCGAAAGCGTGAAAATAGTAAGCGACGTTTTTGAGTTAATTCTTTTTCTGTTAGATTAAACTGCTCTTCAGCTTTAGTTTGATCTATAATAAAGAACTTTTCGTTTTGCTTTGCGTTCAGAAGAGATCAAACACTCAATGCCGTTTTCTCATTGTCAGCCATTTTGTAACAGCTACTGTTTCTCTGAGAGAATAGTAGAAGTTTTTAATATTGGTACTTGTGCTACTCTAGCTGCTCTTTCGTGAGGTACGTCGAACAGCGATGTAAGCTCTGCTGATGCAGGAAAGTTGCGAAGTTGCGAAACATGAAAAGCAGTAATCGACACTCTGCTGCTGTTGAAAAAAACTTTTTTCTGTCGGGTATACGCTAAGAATTTATCACTTCAGAAGTAGTTCCCTGAATTCTGTTAGAAAAGTATCTTCGCCTGATAAAAAAAGACAAAAGTCAGATTAGTAGTCACCCTTTTGTGCTGTTCTAATGGCATTTTGCACATTTTTGAAAGTGATGGTCAGCCAAATTGAAAGTTCCTGCTAGTTGCCAACTGACCGCTAGCGGGACAAAGCGCATTTGACAGATGTTTGGAATATCAGTTGTCTATTTATTAGCGTATCAGTGCAGAGTAATACGTCTCGCTATTGATGTTCGTGTATCAAACAAGGAAAAAGATTCAAGATCAGTAGTACTACTAATCTTATGTGGTGAATTTCGATCTTTTATTTTAGAAGAAAGTGCATAATTTTAAAGAGAAAATGATACAAGTAGCGGAACGGATACGGCAATTTGTATTTCTTTTTCTCCAATACATTCGTGTCTTTTCTTTTGTGACCATACAGTACCATATTTAATTAAATAAGAGCATTCAATTTTGCATTAAATAAAAGTAGTCGTTCCTTTGTTGTTTCTGTGCTTTGTAAATTACTTTCATTGGATCTAACATATTTTCAGCTAAAGTAAACTTAAGTTAAAGTAAGTTAGTAAGTTAAATTTTCGCAAGAGGCAGTAACATATATTCAACTTTTTTTCATTGTACCTGTTCATAAAAAAGGCGCTCTTGCCGATATCTCTAACTATCGTCCTATTTCACTTCTTCCTGTTGTTTCTAATTTTCATCTTTCTAAACATTCTTTTTTTGTTAATAAACAGTTCGGTTTTCGCCCTAAAGATTTCACTCTAGATGCTTTGTTGTTTTTATCTTCAACCGTCTTTGACTTTTGGAATGCTGGTGTGAAGTGTGTTGGTGTGTCTGTCGATTTCTCTAAAGCGTTTGACTCTGTTCCTCATTCTCTTTTGTTAAAAAAATTATCTCGTTGTGGTGTGCGTGATTCTTTGTTGTCTCTTCTATCTTCTTATCTCTCGAACCGTTCTCAGTGTGTGCGTGTAAAGGATTCTGTCTCTTCTTCCCCTGTTCCTTCTGGTGTTCCTCAAGGCAGTGTACTTGGACCTCTTTTATTTCTTGTTTTTATTAATGATCTTCCTCTGTCGCTCCCACCTAATTGGGAAACCTGTCTCTTTGCTGATGATGTTTTTTTGATTGTTCCTCTTTCCTCTACCGATTCTTCCAATTTTTCTCACGTTCAAAATTGTATAAACTCTGTTTCTCACTGGTTTTCTTCCAATCTCATGTCTTTAAACGCTTCTAAATGTTGTTGGCTTCCTTTTTCTTCTAACCTCTTTCCGTATGTTTCTAATCAACTGTATCTCAATGGTACTCCTCTCTCTGCTGTGTCTTCTGTTCGTTGTCTTGGTGTTCTTGTTTCGCACGATCTTAGGTGGAATGACCATGCCAGGGACATCGCTCTTGCTTGTCGGCACAAGCTTTGAGCATTAAATCGTGTCCTTGGATTAGCTCCAACCGAAGTTCGGCGTCGAATCTATCTTTCTTCTATCCTTTCTAAAATTGACTATTGCTGTGCCTTGTATGACAGTTCGTTTTCTCTTACTGTTCTTGATTCTGTAAACAAACTTGCTTCCCGTGTTATCTCTCGCAATTTTGGCTTCCGTTCTTCTAGTTCTCTACTTGTGTCTCAACTTTCTCTTCCAAATTTCACTCTTCGTCGTAAATACTTTAGACTTCTACAGTTTTTCAAAATTTATCATCGTCTAAGTCCTGTCTCTCTTTTTTATACTATTCATCGTCCTCACTACTCATCTTTAGGTCTTCATCACTCTAAGTATGTTCGCATTCCATCTTCTGTTGTTGGTTTTTCTCCGCAAACGGTACATTCTTCTTTTTTTTATTCAACTATTGCTGACTGGAATAATCTTCCAGAGTCAATTATTCGTCATTCTTTATTGTCTTTCAAAACAGCTTTACTTCAGTATCTCTTCCAGTGAATCGATTGTCAGTTATGAATTTATATTTGTTCGTTTCTTTTCCTTATTTTCAAAAATTTTCTTTTTTTTTTACTTTAGTGCAGCCCCCAAATGGGGTTTCGTGAAGTGGAATCAAGGGTTCCGCCGGAAAAAAATAAGAAGATAAAAATTAATTTCACTACGTAAAAAGAATTATGTAGTCTTAAATAATTTTTGTCAAATATTATGTCAAGATACTACTGGGGTTCCGCAAAGTTTTCAATTTTATGAAAGGTTCTATGGCTAAAATAAATTGGGAAACGCTGCTTTAGTGTTATTTGGCTTGAGTCATCGTTATTACAGGTCTATGACCTTTGGTGACTCTCACTTTTCGTGAATAAAACAGTCTTAGTCTTAGTTTTTGTCTGAGCTTGATCTCAGCGTTTTTCCTCACAGCTTGTTTCTGATCAAGCAAGGCCAATTAGTGCTGCTCAACATCAGTAGAAGACACAGAAAATTTCCTTATGTAAGCAAAATATTTTATGAACTATCACGATCTGCATTTTTCTGGTCTACAGTGGATTGAGTCAAGAATGTTTGCAAGCAGACTAAATAAATTCTTTAGTTCCAAATCGTATAGCTAGTCATAAAAAATATTTCTCATATATTTTTATCTTGTACGTATGTTGCATTTAGTTGTCACTAGCTCCTCCTTCCAAAAGAACGTTAGATTCATAATTTTTTGTATTATAGATATAAATAATTAATCTTTTAATTAATTAAGTTAATTTATGGTTAACCTTTTAAGAGGATAAAAAGTCTGAAAAACTCAATAATTTCATTTATTCTGCACTCTTTTAATTTTATTTTTAGATATGAAAATAGTTGAGCAATGAACTTGATACGACAGAATGCAGTTCAGCAAGTCAGTTTTTTATACAAATATGCTATTATTTATGAATATTATATTCTTTTTCTTTCAGATTAAAAATATTTTTCGATCTGTACCAGAAATTCGATCAGTGATTGAAAATCAAGTTGATTTTGATGATAAATTATTTTCGTTAACACAAATTGCAGTCGTGGATAAAAAATCACCGTAAGAGTGAAAAAAGCTATCATTACATTCTTTATTTTTTTGCTCTCTTTTTGTTTATTCTGTCAGAGATCTTTTTCATTATTTTGTTTCCTTAACTCAATGTAAAGCAGCTTCTTTAATTAACTTAGACGAGAATGCAAATTTTGATATAAAAACAAATCGAACATTAGTAAGTTAATATTATTTTGATTATGCCAAATCTCTGTATTTATGTTCGCTCTTTCTATTTCTTTTCAGCCTGTATCGAGCCAAGATAGTTTATGCACACGGGCGGTCTTACAGAAAGATCTTTTATGTGTACAAATAGAACCTCAAACATTTATTTCGGTAAAACTTCATAAGTAGATGAAAAATATCAATTTTTAACTATATTTTCTTTTTTAGACTGCTTTCAAACATCTTGTTAATAATGCTAAAAAATCTTCATATTATGATCCGTTTCGGTACAAATGGTATTTCGATGAATGGAGAAAAATTCCGTGTTGGAAACAGCTGAAACCAACAGTCGGAAATCAAGTCGTTGTAGAGTTTAGGTATACGAACCTTGATCAATTGTTCTCATTATATATCGACAATTGTATGGTCTTTTTAGTTCACCAAATATTGCAAAACCATTGCACGCAGGACATCTGCGTTCAACATTATTAGGTAATTTCATATCGAATATACATGATCGATTTGGTTATTTATCATATCGTATGAATTATCTTGGTGATTGGGGCACACAATATGGTAGGCTAACAAATACAGTAGAAAAAAAGAAATAAGAATTTGTTTTACTTTTATTGTAGGTTTGTTAGCGGTTGGTTTTAAAAAATTTGGTTCACAAGAAGAATTGAATAAACAAGCATTAAAACATTTGCTAGATGTATAGTGTAAACTTCAGAATATATTTTTTCATTTTTTCTTCTTATTATTCTTTTGTTTCTCTTCTTTTAAGATATATGTTAAAGCAAACAAAGACGAAGGATTACACGATGAAGCCAAGAAATATTTTTCAAAAATGGAAAATGGTCAGTTGACTTGTTTGTAGAACGATATTATCATTATTCTCTCTACTTTTACATGTTGTAGGCGATGAAGAAGCATTAGAACTTTGGAATGATTTCCGTACCTTGTCAATCGCAAACTTAGAAAGCATATATAAGGTATGACGTGTGTATTGTTAACTAAATAATGATAATCAAATATTTCTTTTTTTATGTGTTTATACAGACGTTTGATATTGAATTTGATGAATATCAGTCTGAATCTCAATATCGTTTAGAGGCAAAAAATATTATAAAACAATTATCAATATTAGGCTTATGTCAAAAAAGGTATTGACTCTTTGAATGGTAACGTCTAAAAAGAAGAAGATTGTTCTTTCGAGATACTAGTTCAAACTATTTATCAACTGATTCATTACTTTTTTTGCCTACTAAAGAGCTGATGGTGCAATGGAAGTCGTGATACCAGCACAATACAGTAGTCTTAATCGTGAAGCGCGATATGTTGTACAAAAATCAGATGGTTCAACATTGTATATTTCAAGGTAACTAATCATTTTTTCCCTTAATGTATTAAACATTTGAAAATTGTGCTTTTTCGTCTTTAATAGAGATATAGCTGCATTAATTTCACGTTTATACACAATGAATTTCGAAAAAATCTTATACGTCGTAGGTAACATAAACAAAAGTTTCCGTACAAGCTTGAGAAAGAAGATTCATTTCTATTGTATACCCTTTTTTTGTCTGTAGGTTGATTCAACTCAAACAGAACATTTTCGTAACTTGTTAACAACTTGCAAAGCAATGCATATTCCACTTGTTGAGAAATGGTATGTAGAAATATAATAAATCAAAGTAATCCTCATTCATAGCTTGTCGTTGTCAAAGGTGTTATGTTGATTCTTTAATAATGTTCCGAAAAATAATTTTGTCGTTTTGAAATTTTTCTGTTGTAGTTCTGAAAGTGTAACATATTTAGTTATTAATTCTAGGGATATGGAAGATTTTTATGTACCATTTGGTCGTATGACAAATTTTCAAACACGAAAAGGAAAATTTGAATTATTATCAGATGTATTGAATGATGCAAGAGAACGTGCCAATGACGGTTTAAATCGTTTTCTAAGTAATTATTATCATTTTGTAATTATTAAATATTTTTTGTTATTTTTTTTTTTTCTCTTTTTTCAGTTCGAAAAGAGGGAGTTGATCAGACAAAAGTATCAGAAGTAATAGGAAAAGCATATTTAATATTGACTGATTTTTCACGGCCAAGACGAGCAGATTATTCATTTTCTTGGAATGACATTGTATCAAAAGATAATTCAGCATTTATTTTATTATACTGTCATGCACGTCTATGTAGGTATGTTGAAAAATACTACAGATTTATTATCTAGCATCAACTTTTTGGAATGTTTTTTAGTTTAGAAGCAGAAAATAAAATGAATATTGATTATTCAGCTGATGCTAGTTTGTTAGTTGATATAAAAGAACATCAATTGATACAAATTCTAGCAAAGTAATGTATCACAAATTGTTTTATGAACTAATTGTTTAGTTATAGTCCTTTTTTTTAGATATGAAGATGTTTTGTTTGATGCTTATCGTGCATACGAACCACATAAAATTGTTCATTATCTCCTTTTCCTAGTGTAAGTTTATTATTTAGTGTGAATTACACGTATTTAAAACGTTCTGTCACCTTTGCTGAAGTCGTTCATCGACAAATCTTGAAAAGGTTAATGAAAGTGATAATATTCTTGAGATGAAATGGTATACTTCACTTGGCAAATTGTAGAGCTATTGAGAATGACTATATGAGAAAAATTGAACGTTTAACTAGAGAAATTCTGAACAAAAGTGTATACAATTGATGAGATAAAGATCGTTTCTATTTACGTCAGCAGATAATTGTCTAACAGTTTGAAAAGCGAAGACTATAATTTTACTAATCATTAAATTTTTCCGACAGTCTAAAAGTTAGCACAAGTATAATAATTCTTTGTTGACAAGGAAATACTAGAGCCGTATTTCATCTGATTTATCATGATTCTAATTTTCAAAGAATTTAATTCTCTAATCTGAATTTCAATTTCAAAACTTGTGATCGAAAAATTGTCTAAAGTTTTGCATCGAAAACGGCCACCCAATAAATACTTATGATCTAACTTCAGCTTTTCCGACTGACTCGAACTATACGAAGTCGTGTTCTTCTTCGCTTTTTAAGTTCAATTGAAATTCGTCTGTTTCTTTCAATAATTAAATAATTGAGATTATTAGAATCACATATGTCTAAAAGCCTATTTAATTTATTTTTATTCTGCTTTATATATTTTATCGAATGACGTCTGATACTATTTAAAAGACAGATCATACGAAGAATAAATGATTGTTTATTTTGATCGTCAGACATAAACAACTTTTTGTAAAATTTGTTATTTTCTTCTTGTTTTTCGTACAATATACGTGTGTATGGCATACACAAGCGATGAATTGTAGATTTTTCATAGTAGATAAAAATAAGATCGTAACAATGATAAATGGCATAACTTTATTTCGTGACTATCTTTTTGTTTGAGTAACAAATGCATATTTTTATATGTTACGTGTAAATTCATTTTACACTAGATCAGTATCAAAAACACTGAGGATTAATGCAGAAAATGTTTTCTAGCGTCTGATGACTAAACATAACTATTGAGAGAAGTATCTGAAAATCTATTATATAACATTAATAGAAAAATTTCTCAATACTCATGTTTTTCTTCTTCTACGTTTCGACTAAAGCAAATTAAATCTCAACATTGTCACATCAGAAGATCTAACGTTATCATCGTTTCTATATGTACAATTAATTTTATTGTTTTCATTTTAGACAACACTAAAAATTTTTAGAGGATATTTTCTGATCTTAGTCTGATTTTGACGAATGAGTTGCTTCTATTTCGATCAACAATAACGTATAAAAAACTGTTATTACATGTGTTTGTGGTATTTGATGTTTAAATCGAACAAAAAAATGAACAAAGGAAAAAAAAATAGAATAATTTTCTAGACTAGAATAAAATTAAAATAAACTTACAGTTTTTAAAATATACGATGATAGTTTTTATTTTAATCACGTTTTCGTATAAGTATATAGTGGCTAGTATGCGTTGACATATTATCACCAATAGCAGGATTACCTCCACCACCAGTGGACGCTTGTATATTATAACCTAGACGCATCATTCTTGCAATAACATCCATATACACGGGTGGATGTTCATCTTTTTCAGCTGAATAATTTCCAAACCAGACAAATGCACTATCAGCCGCATTTGGCATTATTTCATGAACCAATTCTTTTTCGGCAAATATTCGATAATGCTTAGGATATGATACAAGAACGATTAATGATACAACATCAATTTTGTTTGAACTTTCTTTTGTTGTTGTTGTAGTACTAGTTGTAGTTGTACTACCAGCAGTCGATGATGCCATTTCAGGTGTTAGTGGTGGCGACAGATTTGAAAAGAAATTTTTTTAAGTAGACTATGTAAAAAAAAAGAAAGTAAGAAATAAATGATATAGGGAAAATAGACTAAAAGATACTAGTTTTTTTTTTGTACAGGAAAAATACGTTATAGAATAAATGATGTCTTTTTTACAACGTTATCTGATAGGAAAACACTTTTTGTACACAAGAGAGAAAGAGAGAGAGAAAAAGAGCATTTCTCGTGCAGTGTTATGTAGTAGATCTCTTAACTTTGTCTTTTTTTTTTTTTGTCCGTATGTACCAACCGTATGATTGATACCATGATGGTATTTTTTTCCTCTTTTACTGTGATTGACATACTTGATGACATTTCTTCATCTGGTATACATTTATATTTGCAGCTCACAGTTCTTCTTTATCCACAACAGAGACCTTCAATAGAAGAAAATGACTCCATGTTTGCTATGTTAATTGAATGTATATTCTATTGTGCTTAGTATTGTCTATTAACAAAAACAAAAAAATATGTACTCGTTTTTCATGAGATAATTAAGACTTCGAAATTAAGTGATAGGAGCATGTTGGACTCTTGTTTTTGTTTAATATATTCAAAACATAATCTACGAAAATAATTTCTATTTTATAATATTTGGAATAATGGTGGAATATAATTTGTTAGATAGTCACATACTCTTAGTAGAAGGAAGAGTATCACATTATTAGTTTTTGCACGTTAGAGACTTACTAATGCAATTGATATTCTTATATCAGATTTTCTAGAAATTGTTTCTTATAATTTGTAATTTACAGTTCTTTTTCTTACTTTTAACTTTTTTCATAATTTACTTTATTTATATTTTACAATTTGTAGTAGTGTTTCTTTTAAAATTATTAATTACAAACTTACTAGATTTTCTCCAATATTTTTTGTTTTGTTGTTTTGATATAAGAAGAATTTTTTCAATCAAGTTGTCTAAATATTTACAATTAGCGTATAAAACACCGTCATGTCCTCTCTCTCTCTCGCTTTATGTACTGAATTGTTGGAAAAGTGACGAAATGTCTTTGGCTGTTATGATATAATGAGTAGAAGAAATTAAGAGGTCAACTGTAAATTATGAATTGTAGACTTGTAAGGAGACGAGGTCAATCGTATACGAATAATATGATCACCATGACAGACTTCATTATTCTTAAAAAACTCAATTATGAAATAAGAAAATGTGTGATTTTTACAAGACTATGTTATTGTAGCATTTTAAACTATCAAAAAGTAAATTCAATCTTCTTCATAGTTTGACGAATGTTAAAATTATAAACTACACATTGACAATTTGAATAAATTTATTATATTTGATCGTCTCTTGTCTTTCTCATTTATTTATATTCGTACTATCTCATTTTTTCAACAATACATATGTTCACATTCAGGTAAATCTCTTTTCTTTTTCGTTCTGTTCCAGTAATGGAAACGTTGTTGTTTATTTGTTATTACGTCCATACAACCTCTTTCAATGTAATGCAATATCCTCTTATAGCTAAACAAATTCTTGTCAATATTTTGATTTCATACGTCTAGGAGTCAAAAAGATAAAGAGATACATAGTTTTCCCTCTTATTTTTTTCTTTGAGTTACTTGATAATTATAACGAAATATCATAGAAAAATAAATAACAATGAGATAACATATAAGATCTATCAAGTGCATTTTCTTTTTTCTCCATTTTTGACATGAAAAATAATGAAAAACTATATCCACCACAATCAATTAGTTATGAAAAGGAAAGGTAATAGTTGTATGGTGTAGACATACTTGACACAGATAATTTTATATTTAATTTTCTTATGATTTAATATTGAACATAGAAAAATAAACTGGACATTAGTAATGATAATGGAAAACTAGATTATTTCGCTGTTAGATACTTAATCAGCACGAATCATTTGTATGGCTAATGCCACGCTCATGATTCTATTAGGGATTAGCTGATTACATAAACATATCATTTATTATTTTAGCCATTTTATTAATCGTGCATTAAAAACATTGTATGTGAAAGGAAGTGAAATAGAATTATCAAAAGTATGTTTCATAAATCATTCATCTAATAAATTTTTTATTCTATGATATATATTTTTATTTAGGCACGGTTGCTGTTATATCATATTTGTCGTTTAGTATTAAAAGATGGTCTAGAATTACTTGGTATTGAAGCACTGAAGCGTATTTAAGCGCAAACTATTGTATTTTTATTTTTGTTATTGATTATTTTATAAATATAAAAACTCTTTTAAGTGTTAAAAAAGTACAGTTTTATATTGTTGTTTGGGAAATTAAATTAAACTTAACGTATTATTTAGTTCTTCATTTTTTTAGATGAGTTTAAGTACATTTCACTAATCCACTACAAACTGGATGATATCTATAATCGTTCGACCATTTATCACATTAAAAACGAAATTAGAAAAACAATTTTATATTAAAATAAATAAATATAAATAACACGAGCAAGAATCAAATTATACCTAATAGTAACCATGTCAAAGTCATAGTAATGATATTGTTCTTATCGGACGTCATTGAGATGATTTGAATAAACGAGACGCAAGCATTTGACTAAGTTCTCAATTAGATCACAATGTACAAATCAAGTTTCAACTAACTGAAACTTTTTTTTCGAGCCTATTTACTTTAATTGATCAAAATCTTTCCATAGTCTTTCCGATGTTTCCTATGCTAGGAAAACTCCATCAACCTTCTGTCATATGATCACCAAATGTGATAATTATATGAACAAATTATATTAATTAGTCTATGTTCATAACACGGATAAAGTGTTGTTAACCGTTCGCTGTTACCAAACATAACCCAAACATACCATACATTTTGTAGATTATCGGTGAAACTATTGTTCTAAGGTCTAGAAAGTCGCCATATACTTAGAAATTGTTATGAAACGTATTTGTCAACCGGATTGTACATTATTAAAAAAAAGAGGCAAGCATTAAAACCTTTTAACCGTATATATTTTATTAGTTTCACCATTTCGCTATTCTATTTTTAAGAACTAAATAAAATGGCACGAAGGTTCCCAGTTTCAAATTTCTCATTACGAAACGCTACTCAACGACTAGCAAATAAGGGTCGGTCAGGTCCTGAGGACCGATAAAACGAACCGATCAGCTGTTCTTGTTCTAAGCACACGAAGTGGTTACCAGTTCTTTTCAAGAATTCAATGTAAAATAAAACCCTGCACGATCGATATCCAATTTATCCCTGTCACAGTGGTCTAACACCACAATATATGGGAGATGTTCCAGGTAAATGAAATGGCCATCTCCTTGATTCTGATGTCAAGGGAAATATTTTTTCCTTATCTTTCAGGTTTAAAATTTCAATTTGGTGGTACTTACGGGTCACAAACGGTGAATGCAAAACAACATCTTCTCCCGAAAACGTATCTACTTAATCCAAAAAAGATTCGATGTTATTGTTGAAAAGAGCGTATTAAACCGAGATCAACATGCACTTGCATATAACAGGGAAATAGTCTCTTCTGCATTATTTATATCATGGCTGCTGCTGTAGAACGAAAAAAAAGAAAAACTGATACTAATGTTAGTTAGAACACATGATCAATATGCGTCTGCAATAGTTACTGATAAATACTGTTACTGAGATTCACAAGCTGAAGTAGGGCAAGTAGCCGTAACCGGACATAACAACGAACAGTCATCTGCATACATAACAGACAGAGAAGACAACTCAGTTACTAGACTAATTTAGGGCTGTGACAGTTACTATTACCGTTACATTAACTATAACTGTTGGTCGGTTACCGTTCCTGATAACGGTAACGGGTAAGCAGTTACCGTTCCTGATAACGGTAACGGGTAAGCAGTTACCGTTACAAGTAACGATAACGACCAGTTATAAGTAACGGTAACTGTCGAGCGTGTGTTTAACGAAGTCATATATCATGGCTGCTGCTGTAGAACGGCAAAAAAGAAAAACTGATACTAATGTTAGTTAGAACACATGATCAATATGCGTCTGCAATAGTTATTGATAAATACTGTTACGGAGATTGACAAGTTGAAGTAGGGAAGTTCTAAGTTAGTTCTTCTAGAAGTGTATAACTTCTTACGACTATTTCTACATGTACTGTAAAATGTTGACCATCAGAAGTGTGTAGTTCTTTCGTCTATTTCTATAGTAGGGCTGTCACAGTTATCAGTTACCGTTACCACTCTTACTCGATAACGGTAACTGTTGAACACAGGAGGGGAAATCCGATCGAAGGTTTACTCGAAATGCAACATAACCATTATAGAATTGGTCCCATCATGCAGATTTTTAAATGCAGATTTTAAATGTGTAAGGAAAAGTAATGCATCAGCTGTCAAGCAGTTCTTGCTAAAGCCGAACTGTTGCGGTGAGCAAAATTTGTACTTCACAAGGTAAGTAACAAGCTGTTCGTACACGAAACGTTCTTGCACTCCAGATGTTTACTGAAGTTTATTTCATCTCTCTCCATGATCGATCACGTTTTTATCCCAGTTATCGCCAATAATTTCAAACGAATAACGAATAACGATGCACAAAATCAGAAACTTTTATGCGCATTTATGAATGAATCATTCCAGAAAGCTTTTATTTATAGATGTTATGTCTCTTCTATATTATTTATATCATGGCTGCTGCTGTAGAACGAAAAAAAAGAAAAACTGATACTAATGTTAGTTAGAACACATGATCAATATGCGTCTGCAATAGTTACTGATAAATCCTAGTTATCACATGAGATATCATACATTCAACCACACACATACCTCGCGCAGATCAACAAAGTATCAGCACCCCATATTCCCTCTTTAAATAGATTTGAGAAAACCTATAAATTAAGCGAACAATGGCAAGAAATTCAATCAAAAAGATAAAAAGTCAGAGTAATCTTCTTCTAATACTCAAAGATAAATACGAATCTCAAATAACATGAAAACAGTAAGTCAGCCCATGTCATATTTCATCTAAGGGATGAAACTGATTATGAACAATATTCAATGTTTAGATAACACGATTTGCCTGTTTTTTTGATATTGACGGTGTTATTATGAAAGGAACAAATGTTATTACTAAAGCTAAACTCGCAATACAAGTAAGTTAAAGACACAAGTAAACATTGTTTTCGAAGATGTGCAGCTTTACTTTACCGTATAGACATTAGTTCAACGTAGAATACCAGTAATATTTGTTAGCAACACATGTATGTTAGAAAATGAAAAGGCCCGGCAATTATCCTTATTATTGGGGGTCACTGTGAGTATTTTTGGAAAGCAAATAATAGTTAACATTACACTAACATGGTTGCTTGTGATAGATTTATCCAGAACAAATTGTACTTAGTCAAACAGCGATGAGATGTTTAACAAGTTTTCATTCAAAACATGTACTAATATCTGGCCAAGGAGATTATGAGAAAATAGCTCGTCTGTAAGTCAAATATTTAGGATGTTCTCTTAATATACATGGATACATGTCATTTTAGTATTGGTTTCAAAAATCTAACAACTGTTGAGAAAGTATGTGAATCATTTCCAGAACTTGATATGGTTGATCATACTCATCGAGTTCAGTTGGTAAGAAGAATTAGTGGATAGTGACAGACTGTTTCTATTATATCACGCTTGTTTTTAGAATGAATTGATAAAAACGCAAGGTTTAGTACGTGATGAGAGTTTTCGACCAATCGATGGTATGTGAGCAACTTTATTCCTTGATCTTGTATGAATACTAAATTTTTCTAGCTATTGTTTTGTTCGGTGAGCCAACCAATTGGGAAAGTTCGTTACAAGTCATCACCGATTTACTTTTGACAAATGGAAATCCTTCGATGTTGCCGGAAAAAATTCCCTCACCACATATTCCGATCATCGCTTGTAATAAAGATTTGGTATTCAAAGCATCAGCTGATCTTCCACGATTTGGACATGGAGCATTTTTAACATGCTTGGAAGCATTGTACAAGGTAAATCTATATACTTACAGTCTCAGATTTATTTGAAAAAATTTCTTTATAATAGAATCTCACACAAAACGAACTACAATATACAGCATTCGTTGGTAAACCTTTCGAAATAACGTTTCAATACGCAGAAATGATGGCTAACACATTATCGTTGGCTAGTGGTCAAGGTTTGATCGAAAAAATATATTTTATTGGGTAAGTTAAGTGTTCTTGTTCAAATTTTTTCTTTTTCTACATCTAATCGAAAAATTTTAGAGATAATCCTGACGTTGATATATTGGGAGCTAACCTCTACAACGAACATCTAAAATTGAAACGAAGTGGTATGAATCGTACCTATGACTTACTTGACTACGATCTATTGAGTGCAAAAGAATGTGAATCCATATTAGTCTGTACAGGTGTTTATAATGATACCAAAAAGAATATTGATGTAAAAAATATATTAAAAAGACCAAATGTGATTGAAGATGATGTATCGGGTGCTGTCAGTTATATTTTGGCAAAAGAAGAAAAGTCTGATGTGTAACATATTGCATGTAAATAGTTCACCATATAAGGTTGTCCGATAATATTTGTTTATTATATTAGTGCTGGATCTTGTTGTTATTAATAAGATCAGTGTTCATGTATATAATTTTTTTGTAAATAAACGAGAATAAACTCTAAAGTAAACATTTCCTTTTGGTACAAAAAGTGTCAAGTGAGAGAGAACAACAAAAGAAGTACACACCGTATATGATCCTTACAAAAGAAAATTTCTGTGTTTTGTGGGTCGTATTAACATAGATGCACCATTTTCGCAAGATTTATAGTTGACAATGTTGGCATTCTCAATATTGGCGAGATTTGTTACATATTGTCATAATAATTAATTAAAGAGCTAAGGATAAAAACATTACTGCCATATAAATCAATTATAGCTGCATTTAAGATAAAAAATAGCTGTATCTTCTGTTCCATCCTTTAGAAACGATTAGCATTATTTTTAATCCCATTATTGTTGAGAGTAATGTTAAAAGAATTCTTGATGCTGTGTTCTGGCTTAGAACTTCACCAATAACACAATAACACTGCTGCAACTTTCTATAATAGCATTATTATGGATCACTATTGATTTACAACCCATCAGCACAAAGGATATTTAACTTATACAAATTGTTGTTATTCTTTGTTATTCTTATACATAGTATGATAGAAGAA